TTTTTGCCATGTTGTATGTATCGAAAACATGATTTGAAGGTGGCTGTGGACGAGTGGTTGTCCGATATTAGAGCAAATCTTCCTCATGTTCTTGCCAGCTGTGGTCCAATAAGCCCTTTTGTGCAGATTGGTGGGTACATCATTCCTCCATTAATCTTCTCTCCCTAGCTTGTTTTAGTGCTTTTAGAACTGAATGTGGGAATAAACCAGTATTTTGTGTTCAGGGAAAGGAGTCATGGACTTGTTTTGGTTGCCCGTTGCCGAGTTGCGAAAAGAGGATGGTCATGTAGTGAAAGGAATCCAAAAAGGTGTTGGATCCTTTGGCTTGTCGTCTGCAGCAGGCGTTGTCGGAATGGCGCAGACTGTTGTTGGAGTAATTCAGGTGAGTACCCATCCAAGTTGAGGGAACAGAAATGTATGCGTTAAATTTCAGATGTTCGCTGAGTCAGTCCTCCAAGAAGTGCAGCCAACGGCACCTTATCTGAATGAACGTAATCGCCGAGCGTTGGCTGCGAGGGCAGCTGCACCAACAGATCTTCGTCATGGGATGCAGCTCGCATACGACATCGCGTCAGATGTAAATTAACATCAGCTTCTAGCGTCATGTCGCGCACTAGTATCAGTTTACTGTTCGATAATGTTCGATTTTAGGGCTACCGACAAGCTCGCGATGATTTGGAACTGGCTGCACAAGAAGATCGAGCGTCTGGACAATCTTCCTTCCGTAGTGTGCTTAAAATCGCACCAAAGACTTTCATTCGGCCACTTGTTGTCAGCACACAAATCGGATATCAGTTGCTGGGAGGTCAAAAACTTTTTGTCACACGTCGCAGATCTTTAACATCTCTGCCGTTCCAGGTCTTCGCGCTCAGTTAAGACCCGATGTCTACCAAGACGAGCGGCATAAATGGAAGGACGAAGAGGTCCCCGGTGGTAGTGGACAACATTAACCTTCAGTGTTTCTATTCTTTGAGCGCTTTCACAAGTTGCCTCCCTTCTCTGTGATTTGATATCAGTCCATTTAACTCATTCGTTCCTAAAAGTTACAGGTGCATGTTTGTAGCGCAAGCCTGCTACAATATCTGAAGTTGTGTAAAAATCGTCGTTCTCAGTTTCGTTAGATAGCATGTTTACTTTATTCCCCGAATCACGCGGTACTTTGAAATATTTCATCGTCTCATTTGCCTTTATGACCTTGTCAGCTAGTAACGAGGTACGTGTCATTGTTCTGTATTTACTGTACACATAAGTTGATGTTGCTTTCGTTCAAATGTGTAGCTTGCATTTCTTTGAAACTTCGCCTCAGCTGTCATTCAGTGGTCGGATAGCT